ATTATATCCCCTTCAACTTTCCCCGAAGGACTGGGCGCTGGCGGCATAGGTAGTCACTGAGGCAAAACTGGAGTGGGCAGTTGACAGATTTTCCCCATATACATCTCCGGGAGTGGACGATATCTATCCCACCTTCCTGCAGAGGGGAATGAACAGACTACGCCCTATCTTGTTACCAATGCTTCGGGCGTGTTTGGCTTTTAGCTACATATCGAAAGCATGGCGAAAAGTAAAGGTTATCATTATACCTAAGCCAGGACGACAAGATCACACCTTGGGTAAATCCTATAGACCAATTAGCTTAACATCATTCTTGCTGAAAACGCTAAAAAGACTAAGCGAAAAAGAGATTCGGGAGACCGCTTTAAGCAAGCAACCTCTACATCCGAACCAACATGCCTACATCCAAGGAAGATCCACGGATACAGCCTTACACACAGTTGTAAACCGTATAGAGTGGGCGATGGAGAACAAACTCTCCACCTTAGGAATGTTCTTGGATATTGAAGGAGCGTTCCATAAAACGACCTTCAAAAGCATAGGATTAGCCCTACAAGAGCACGACGTGAACCTCACCCTGAGTAGGTGGGTGACTGGTATGCTGAGGAATAGGGAAGATTAATGTAAGTGGTACTGAGATCGAGGCTGTTGTAGACATGGAATGTCTCCACTCCAGGGAGGAGTACTCTCTCCTGTACTGTGGTATACTGTCGTTGACAGCCTGATACAACGCCTCAATGATCTTGGCTACTACACTTGGCTAGAATAATGAAAGCTGCAATAACAATAGTCGAGGAATAGTGCAGCAGGCATACCCTCTCTGTAAATGGAGAAAAGACGAAATTAATCCTGTTCACTAGGAAAACGAAAATTGTCTCTTTTGCTCCACGTTGGCCACCAACGAGCGATTTTCATGATTTTTGTGAAACTTTGCTGGTTTTGAATTTGAATTTTCTGTCCTCGATAGTTGATGCTCAGCAAGAACCACGGGAAGGTCTGGAGCAGATCTCGCTAGGAAAGGAGAGGGCTAGGAATTGTTAATGAGGGATAGAACGTTATACAGTACAATACAATGGAAATACAATAGAGAATATACTACAGATACAGATACAATACAAATGCAAAGTTAGTACCCAATACACCACCGGAAGAAATTGCACCAAAAATTGAGAATGTTGCAAAATGAAAACCCAAGCAAGCACACCGATAGAACTCGGGACGAAATCTATAGGTCGCGGCGCTCACACGCCCAAGGGAGGAACGCAGCCGCATAAATCCAAGGTCGTCTTACATCATTCTCAAAGAGCGATGCAACCCAGCGTCTAAGGGCCAAAAGAACCCCCCCAGGCCAAAGCGACTGACGACATGGAGAATTCAAACCCGGAACCAAAGAATGCACTGTTGCAAAATTAAAACCCAAGCAAATGCACCATGAAAACAAAGCATTGGCACCACTGGAGCTAAATTGGCAAGACCCAAGTTAAGTTAGTAACACATACAATATACAGTACAAAATGCTTCAATTACAAAAGTTACAATATACAAATTTCTCCACGTTTGCCAACAAAGAGCGATGACTCTGCTCGGTCGTTGCTGTTGCCCAGCAAGAACCAAACAATACGAGGAGGTCTGGAGTGCGTCTTGCCATTAAAAGAGAGGACTAGGGTTTGATAGCATGGGTGAAGGACACCGTATTTTGTAAATTTGGACGCCGTAGTTTAAAAATGATGCATACGGTATTTTGTGAATTATGAACGCTGCACTTTGTATATTCCAAAGCCGTACTTTATCAGTCCTGAATGCATGTTATTAACAACATATTTCAAAAAAAATCGGGCATTTTTGGAAAAATATCCACTTTCCTTCGTGTTCACAGCACGTAACACAAAACATTTTCGCGAACACGTACTACAAAAGTAGCAAAAACGGAGCTCCAGTGTTGCTGCTACCAGACCGGAATCAAAACTAAACACAGAGGATGGAAAAATTGACCTTTTATCAGGTAGCTCAAGTGACAGTGACGTCATCGTACGTCACGATGAGATTGCAAAAATTATTTTTCATATTTTAGATCAGAAATTGTACATTTTCGGGGTTAATTTAACAATGTTTAAACAAACTAATTGGTTTTTGTTAACCTCGTGTTCTTAGGAAGATGGATTTCGGTTTAATTATCATATATTGATAGTTATCATATTTGAACATTATGAATTCTATTAATTATGTTTAAATTTTATTTAATTATATCGCGAAAATGTATAGCTTTGACCCACCAACTTCAATCGTTTCGAAAATTTATCCAAAATGTAAACATTGTCGACCAAACGAATCACGGAATCCGATAAATTAAAACTGAAGTCGTACTTACCCTGTTTTCGGTCTTTTTCGGAAAAATATTCATTTTCGTCCGTGTTCACAGCACTAACACAACAAATTTTCCTTAATATGTATTAATAATAAAATTGAAATTCGCTAAAACGCTCCACTTTTACTCCAAAATGACGCGACGATCTTGCCGCCATCAAACAGAAATTAATACTGAACACAAAGGACCGTAAAACGTGACCTTTATACAGGTAGCTCACGTGACATTGACGTCATCGTACGTCACGATGAGATTGCAAAAATTATTTTTCATATTTTGGCCGGGAAAATGCACATTTTCGGGGATAATTTAATAATGTTTAAACAAATTGATTTGTTTTTAATAATTTCGGGCTTTTAGGAGAACGAGTTACGGTTTAATTATCATATATATTTATGCTTATCATATTTAAACATTATAAGTGATATTAATTATGTTTAAAATTTATTAATTTATATCATGCAAATGTATAGCTTTGATCAACCGACTTCAATTGTTTCGAAAATTTTCCCAAAATTTAAACATTGTCGAGTGAAGGAATCACGGAATCCGATAAATTAAAACTGAAGTCGTAAGATAATTAGCTTTTATTTATGCATAAATTGTGCAGTGCGTTCTTTCTAACACTGACCATAGAGATTCCCAACTCAAGGTGTCTACCCCATGCTAACTTATATTTTGGTGACTCGATTTTTGCCTTGATGGTTGAACACAGTCACTGTTGTCCTTTTTTGTTGTATCGAGATGCTACTTGAGCATCAACTGTTACATACTGAAGTATTAGTATCATCTAGAAAAACTAGAAATATTTTGATTTGATATTCGAGTAGATACTTCGTATTTCGAGTATGAGCATCTACTGAGTTTTATTTATATCAACCATTGTCAAAAAATTGATCGAACGTTGTTTCGACAGAACTTCCTTCGCACCAAAAGTATAATGAAACCTATTTAGCATTTTCGAGTTGAGTCTGTTCTTCACACAATTTTGTGATGACCTAATCAACATTTACTATCAACACGTATACCACCTTGGATGGTGCAGTGTAATACTAAAAAGAACTGTATTGTATTCCCAAAATTATCTGCGAAAATCGAGTAAGCCATTCCATCAATTTTTTGGGGGGAATAAATAAATATTCTTAACAATTTACCATGCTTACAATAACTTCAAACGTCTGCAAGATCTCAAAGTATTCATTTTTGCAACTCTTGAGTTATTCACTAAAATAAATTGACTGATCCATATATTTTTTGAGTCACTGTAAAAGCAAATCTAAAAAATATGAATGCAATGATAAATTACGAAAATATACTGATGATGTTTTCCACATTTTAGATAGGATTTATTCGGGAAAATCTTGAGATGACGTCTTCAAGTTTTTGGGCTTGATAAACAGATATATTTTGATTGAAAACCTACCATATCAAACAGTAACTTCAAAACCTCTGCAATATTTCAAAATTCAGTTTTGCAATTCTTGATTCAATCAATAAAATAAATTGACTAACGGGCCAATTTCAAGTTGGTTTGCAATTAATTGCAAGCTGCGTTGCTATGGTAACCTCGCAAAAATATAATGGTTTGTTTTAAGAGTTCTACGAGATCACCATAGCAACGGTGCTTGCAATTAATTGCAAACCAACTTGACATTAGCCCGTCAGTGATTAATTTTTTTGAGACACCCCCTATAAGCAAAACTAAAAAATATTAATGGAATGATAAATCACAAGTATAGTCTCATCCTATTTTGGACATTTTAGATAGGATTCATTTGGCAAAATTTTGGGCTGACGTCATCAATTTTTTGGAGGGGATAAGTAAATATATTTTGAATAAAAATTTATTATGCTTATCATATGTTTAAAACATCTGCAAGATTTCAAAGCATTCGATTTTGCAGATTCAAAATTAAATTGTAGGTGAAACGAAGTTCACGGGGTCAGCTAGTTATTAATATACATGCTTAACTTCGACTGAATCTAAAAAATACTCAATGCGTCGAGTGTAAACACCACTAAAGAAACAGAACAAATTGTTTTAACTGCTATGCAGAAAAAAATCCAATGTATTCATTTACTTCACTCAAACTAGTTTCGAATTTCTTATTCTACAAATCAGATATTTTTTACGTAACATTGGTTGCGTACTTCAAATGCATGTTTTTTTTTCAAACTGAATATAGAGACTTTATGGTGATTGTTCAACATTAACAAAATGTCCTGGTATATTATCGTGGTTTCAAACATTTTAATTACCATGTTTTCATGATAATCTTGAAATTTAAGTAATGGGCTTGGTAGTTTCAGAAATTATCCGCTTATTCAGTTAAATATTAAACTTACAAAAATACAGAATAGCTAACTATTTATTACCATCGCTGTATACAACATTACAATTGCTAAAGAAAATCTTTAGCTATTAGTAACTCGGTAAATTTACACACAAAAAATTTATTTAGTTTCATACAATGTGCGCATATTTTACTGAAAATTTTAAATTATTGCTTTCCAGGCATTTGGAACGAATCAAGTTAACCGAAATGTTACTAACAAAAATAACATGGGGCTGGATATAATGGGAATGTAAAAATTCACAAATGGTTCAGACAAGGTGTCATAACGTAAAACGTGCTAAATCTTAAACTTATTTGTTTCTATTTTCATTTTTTTCCTGTGGTGTAGCCATATTGAGAACAAAATTATTGTACGAGTTAAGTTCGTTTCTTAGTTCTTTATTCCTTGTATAGTTTCGTTTTGAATGAAAATATATTATATTACATAATTTAACGAATAAACCTAATGTCATGGAAATTAATGGCTAAAACGAGTGTGCTGAAAGTCTCACTACTCTGCGTCATATACTACAACCGAAAATTATGAGTGGTTGGACTCAACATTAACTGTTTTAAAATCTTTGGCATGTGTTGCAACTTTTCTCTTATTGGACGAGGGATTTTGTCATTGTCAGAGTACTTCACCACCACTCCATCTGAATACTGATACTTAATTTGGTGTTTACCATCCATCGACAACTGGGATCCGTCACCATACTTAATTTGCACCTCTCCATTAGGTAATTGCACTGCAGTGCCTACGCCTGGCACTGAGACTCTTTTTTCTTTATTGACATTACTTTGAAATGACGACCCTACGGCTGTACTGTTCATAGAAACAGTAAACGAAGGCTGCAAATTAAGATGATGATGATAATAATAATAACTATATTTTTAATTTTTTGTTACCATCATAGATTGAGTATGATTCTCTTTTCCTAAAGACGAAATTGGTCTTCGACCTAGGATAGTCGGAAACTTTGTGCCACTCAGCTTGGATAGCATTTCTTCCACGATTAGACAATGTTTTAAAGCTTCTTGCGATTGATTCCACATACATTCGAAAGTTTCTGTTAAATTTCGACATTCATTTGCACTATTTACCTGAAGCTTATTCCCAGAGGAGTCTTGAAAAGTTATACCTTTTGAAGACGATTTTGTCACCGTGCCTCCTAGGAAGTTCATTACAAAAATTATTCGTCAAATAAAAAATACCTACACTAACTGAATTACCTTAAAAACTTATATTTACATACTTTCAATTATATTTTGGAATACAATCAATAATTTACTATATCTGAACGTACACTGAAATTACAAATTTAATCAATAATAAATTAAGGCAAAACATAAACGTTTCAATATTACTCGTACTATACTATATTATATTTATGATTGATTAATAATTCATAAAAATAACCATTTTAACGTGATTCAGTTTATATTAGATAACATATTCAATTTACCTTCATAAAAACTTGCTTCAAAATCGGTCAAATTCTCCATAAGCACAAACTTCATCTTATCATCGTAACACGTGACTTTCGGTGTTTTTTCCTTAATTAAAGCAACAAACTGATGTGCGTACATATACTTTCTCCAGTGCTTTTCGGGCAAATTGTCGAAACTAAAAACATCGTAACTTCCTTGATGAGGAATAGGTGGTGGCGTTGATGTAGGTATTACTCCTCTTCCCCCATTTGGTTCATAGATAATTATTTTAGTGCCATCTGGTGAAATTCTTAATACCTCAGTGACAACATTCCGTTTTGAACTACCTTTTTTCTTCATTAATTCGACTACAACTTCACCCTCTTCCATTATATGCAAGATTGAAGTTTCTGTACCGTGTCTTTTTGGTAGAAGACGCTGAGACGACAACTGATGTAATTTCTGTCCTTTCGGTTTCTCACGTTTTTTATTAAGACTTTCACTCGAACTACTATTGTTTGACGACGAATTCCCTGTGACTGTTTTGCATGAATTTGAACCAGGCATGATTTTCAGTATTCTGTTTCCATCAGAATAGGCAGGATATAAGTCCTGATTAGAATGACTAACACTCTGATGACAACTGCAATGATTGCTTCTTAGTTCACATTGTGAACCATGATTCGAGACAACTGATATGTGATCATTCACTGGCTGATATGAGCAACACTGAGGATCGGAATAATTTGTTCTGATTTGGGCATCATACATTTTTTTTGTAATATGTTCCATGCTGTGAGAATTGGTAAAATGGTTTTTTGATGGAAGACAATCACTACTAATATAGTAATGATTACTTGCGGTCATGTATGTATTAGGAATCGCACTATCACTAAATGCGCTGTCTCTTCGACTGGACATTGTGTGAATCCCACTGTCTTGGGTTAAATGAGAGGTCATCATCTGTATTAAAAAAATATTAAATTAGAACATACATCTGACACGTGCAAAAGAGTTGTTTTACATCAAAACGTGATGCATAAGAATTGAAAAATACCACTTTTAATAAATGCAATATCTGTTCTATATTATGTTGAGGTTTTAAATTATTTACTACTAATTACTTATTTTATGATGAGTAAAAAACGAAAAACTGAAAATTAACCTTTCTAGTGAATGGTATGAGTACTAGCACTATACAGTCTGAACCATTGAAGGAACAACTACCAAAGTACTTCCATTCATTCTATACCTTCCTTCCAAGATATTTATAATAGGACTGCTATATTAGATCACCTGAATTATTGTAAATATTAAACTAACAATACCCGATTTATGACACTCTAATCCTAATCAGATCTGAGCTGATCAGCTGGCCTTCGTAAAAGTGAAATATATAATATGCAAATCTCTTATTCAGTGGTATAACAGTAGTAATCCATATAATCTATTTTGACTATAAAACATATTCAGTTTTTTTTTAAGAGAATCCGTGTATGTTAAAATAAAGATATGTACTTAATGTTAGAGAAGCACGCTACGCGTATACTTCAAATGAATTTTTTCTTTATAAAATTTTGTGATGACGTCATCAACATTTTTGCAAGGACATATACAGGGTTAGTATAAAGTCCCGGAACGATTGAATAACTTTGTTATTTGAAAAGCTTGTTTTGGAAATTTTGTGTGGCTATCTAGTTAAACATGGCGACTTGATCAATATTTTTTTCTTTTTTTATCACTTTCGGTTTGACACACAAGGCCGCCTACTTTTTTTAATGATTCGCCTTTTGGAAGAACAGCAGTAGATAAAACGAGTTCCCTCCCAGTAGCCGAAGAAGGACATCAAGTACATGGAGAGGCGGTCGAGCATTCACGAAGAATACGGTGACAAGTGATAGAACGAAGACACGTTACGACCTTAAGGACAATTCAATAGAGTTCCTGGCAGGAGATTTGGTACGGCTTTATAACCCCCGAAGAAGAAAAGGTCGTTGCCCGAAGTTGTCACCATATTGGGAAGGTCCATATACTGTCGTGACCAGGATAAACGATGTAACTTACAGGATTCGACAAGGGCCAAAGACGAAAATGAAGTTCTTCACTTAGACCACCTCATGAAATACAACATTGACATAGTTGACGTTTCTAATCGGGGCGATCACAACTAACGAGGGGGCAGTGTTACGAGATAATCCATACGCCGCCCCGGTGCGGTATCTAGTATGTGTGGCGATGATGTGTGACTCATCATCAATGATGGCAGCGTTCGAGTGGAGGAGCGCCTCTGCGGAAGTCTTGGCGGCGGGCCCCAGAACAACTTAGAAGCGGTGACGGCGAAGTTTCGAGAAGGGCCACATGGTTAAAGGGGAACCAACGTCGGGAGCAGCAGTCAAGTCCAGTCAGTGTTAAGAGAATTTGGGTCTAGTCAAATCGATTACAGTCGGAATTATTCTGTACATATGTATATCTGAGAAATAAATTGTTGAGTTTTGCCTACACGCAGTTTTAATTGCCAATCATCGTAACAATACTAATAATAACAGTATTGTATTCCAAATTTTCGGAAAAATGGAAATAGCCGCTCCTGATTTAACCAACAAAATAATATAAAATGATTCATTCATTAATTTTTTTTGGGTCACCTGTATAACCAATTCTAAAAAATATGAATGCACTGATATATCACAAGTATAGACTCATCATAATTTCCACACTTTAAATATGACTTATTTGGCAAAATTTTGAGATGGCGTCATTAATTTTTTGGGGTGGAATAAGCAGATGTATTTTGATTAAAAATTTACCATAGTTACGGTAACTTTGAAACGTCTAGATTACAGTGCTATCTGCACATCTTTATTTCGCAATTCACAAAAATCATTTTTAGCAGTTAAAAATGTCCCCCGTAGCGCAATCTGAACATTTATTAGAACCAAAGTAGAAGTAATTAATGTGATTGCTAAATAAGTATTACTACGTCATGCAGCGCTTTTGTTACAATAGTAAAATAAACTCTTCATAAAAATGTAATTTTCAAAATGCTCATGAATCGAAGTTTACTTTCCTATTTTGAAACGTCAGTGTCACTGTGACATACATACACACAATTTATTTTTAAATTAATGACTATTATTTCCCAATGAAACACAACATATTCTGAACAACATTCTCTGCTCATAAGCTTCAATTCTATTCATAAGAAAAACATCTCATGCTTTCTTATATTCCGGGACCAATGGATTGACCGTATTTTTGAAACTTGAAAAAATGCTGCTAATAAAATTGACAGTGACACAACAATGCACAGTTACGTGATATTAGGAAAATTGAATTTTGTACTTTTGGCTATTAGGTAGAAAGAGGCAAGTGGGTCATTTAAGCAGGATCAGACTGTATAAAATTTAGAAAATAATGGCGCCCTCGAAATATTATATTTTAATGACTAGGGAAGCAAAAATATGCCATATTTACACAAATGTTAAATAACACTGAAACTTATTAAATTTTGTTAATTAACATTTCATTATTTGACAAACAGGGGTTAGATTTTTTATAACTTAAAAATAACTATTCCTCCACTCTGAGTGTGGTTAGTTTCATCTTCAATTTGGAAATTAAAAAAAAATGGTGGAAAGTTGCTTAGACAGAACTTCCCTCGCTCCTAAGGCACAATGAAACATCCAGCATTTTCGAGTTGAATTTTTTCTTTACACAATTTTGTGATGACGTCATCAACATTTTTCCAAGAACACGTATATGAATTTGGATTGATGCAATGTAATTTTCACTTGAAAGACAATGACCATATATAAACTTATATTAAAATAATAATAAGAAAAAGTAGTTGGGAATTATGCAGCAAAAGAACTATTTTCCCGAATTACTTTTTTTGACAATAAACGAAGATGAAATTGAGCATTGTATTTTTTCTAAATTTTTTAACAGCACATTTTTTAAAATGAAAGTAAGTTTTTAAATTTGGCTATAAATTAACCTTTATTTATTACTACTGTTGTCCTATAGGGACTGTTTATTGATATAGGTATAATGTTACCTGTAAATGTATGTATGTATATCATATTCTTAGAAAATGTCATTTCTGTAACTGTAAGTTTGCTAGAGGCCTAATGTTTAATAACTTCCTCAACCAGGTGGAGATATAAAATAAACATTTTTTAGCATCAGACATAAGTTGAAAACATACTTGTTTACAAGCTGGTGGTCGAGTGAGATTATCACATAAGTGCAGTCTAGTTAATTTATTTCCTAAACTGCCTTTAGTAAGGCTACAGTTATATAACTGTAAAAATATATATTTCGTTTGAATAATTAAACAAGGGACCTACCTGTCCCCTTTTGATAAAGGGATGATCCAGAATCTGATCTAACTTCAGTCTATCCTTGGGGTTTTTCTGTAGAAGAGAATTAATTAAGTCTCTAGATTCAATTGACAAGTGGCTTGGTAAATGATAATTAGCAGAGACTATTCGATTTAAAGTATTTTTCACACCACGAGTTTCAAAAGGTGGTGAACCCACTAACAAATTATATAATAAACAGCCCAAACCCCAGACATCTGCCTCTAAACCATGAGAAGTTCTAGATAAAACTTCTGGGGAAATGAAGTTAGGAGTTCCACACATAGTTAAATGTTTCTCATCAGGTCGAGTCAATTGTGTGGCTAAACCAAAATCTGCAATTTTCTAAAATTGAAATGGTTAGTTTACCTAAATACAGTCTTGTGATACATACAATTTGCATGTCTTTTGTCAATAATAAATTTGACAAGGATATGTCTCGATGTAAAATATTGTGGGTATGCAGATATTTTATTCCTTCCACAACTTGTTTCATTATGTTGCTAGCTTCACATTCCGTCAATGCCTAAAATTGTACTTCAATAAAATACTCTTGATATTAGCTTCCTTTAGTTACTTTGCTTTCTATATACTGTCTTAATTCCCCATTATGACATAACTCCAGAACCAAGTACACATAATTCATATCCTCAAAAAATGTATACAGCTCAAGTATTGAGGGATGCTTCAATCGATAATGTATAGATACTTCTTGTTCTACACGTTTCACCATACCAGCAGTTTGCATTAATTTTTTATCAATCTACAAATATATAATTGTTGCAAATGTAACCTTTACACAATTAGTAATTGTACCATTTTAATAGCCACATTGAGTCCAGTTTTTAAGCATTTGGCATGGTAAACAGAGGCAAAGCCTCCTTTTCCTAACAAATTGTACACTTCATAGTCCTAAAATTAAAAATATACAAAAAATAAGATGTATTTAAAACATAAACAAAACATTCTAACCTCAATTTTCTCGCCCATTTCGAAATGCTTCGTTTAATCACTTAAGTGTTATAGTAACATTTAAAAAATATACATCCAAAGCAAATAATATTTACAAAAATTCTCTTGATTCATCTTAAAAATAGAAATTCGCTTTTTGATAACGAATGCCCAACTGAAAAATATATACAAATTTTGAAAATTTGACAGTTGACACCACGCCCGCTAATGCGTAAACAACCTTCTAAATAACATAACGTAAATGTAAACATTACATAACCAAACTTTTTTTCCGAAACTAAAGCGAACTGGATATGATTGAACCTCGAACTGGACACTGGTTTTAATGAAATGTGAAATAAATCGCAGCGTTATTATAACTAGTATATTAAAGAACGAGTTTCATAAGGCAAATTTTAAGGCACGAATCCAAGTTTATAGAACGAGCGGCGAAGCCGCGAGTTATATACAGGATGAGTGCCACAATGGCCTTATGAACGAGTTATTTATACTATTTTTTTACCGCGCACGTTTTTTCGCAAAAGTTAATTGAAATTTGAGTTTTTTTTAATCTGGGGAATTTTGTCGTAGTTGGCAATGAGCTGGTATGACACGAACTGTGGACACGAACAACGAAACATTTGAAGTTCGAATTTTCACAACAACAATTGTAATTGGAATTACTTCGAGTTTTTGTAAGTTAAAATATCTTGTGAAGAAGTTAGTGAAGTCCTTACGCCTCCCGAAATATGGGAAATTTTAATTTGACATTTGCCACTGACATTTCTCGTCATGGCTATCAACTTTACCGATCTAAATTACACCAGATCATTTCAGAACCCCTTTCCGCTTTGACGTAATTTGCGTGCTTTAATAGCTCTGTTGCAAAGTCAAGACAGAAAATTAGTATATTAAAGAACGAGTTTCATAAGGCAAATATTGAGGCACGAATCCAAGTTTATAGAACGAGCGGCGAAGCCGCGAGTTATATAAAGGATGAGTGCCTCAATGGCCTTATGAACGAGTTATTTATACTATTTTTTCTACCGCACACGTTTTTTCCCAAAATTTAATTGAAATTTGCATTATTTTTAATCTGGGGACTTTTGTCGTGGTTGGTGATGGGTTGGTCTGACACTAACCACGAAATATTTGAGGTTCGAATTTTCACAACAGCTATTAACGCACGCAAATGACGTCACAGCAGTTCGTTAATAGAGGAAAGGCGTTCTTTAATAGATCTGGTGTAATTTAGATCGGTAAGATTGGTAGCCATGACGAGAAATGTCAGGTGAATGTCAGTGGCAAATGTAAACTTAAAATTTCCCATGTTTCCGGACGCGTAACTTCTTCGCGAGACATTTTAACCAATTTTAAATTACAAAAACTCGAGTTGGTTCGAATTACAGTTGTTGTTGTGAAAATTCGAACCTCAAATATTTCGTGGTTAGTGTCAGACCAACCCATCACCAACCACGACAAAAGTCCCCAGATTAAAAATAATGCAAATTTCAATTAAATTTTGGGAAAAAACGTGTGCGGTAGAAAAAATAGTATAAATAACTCGTTCATAAGGCCATTGAGGCACTCATCCTTTATATAACTCGCGGCTTCGCCGCTCGTTCTATAAACTTGGATTCGTGCCTCAATATTTGCCTTATGAAACTCGTTCTTTAATATACTATTAACGAACAAGTTTGTTAATAAAGGAGATTAATCATCGAAATATTATTTTAACGCGCTAAGAACGAGCGCGTTAATGTTCGAGATTATTAATCGCCAATTAACAATCGAGTTAGTTACAATACTTTTCCGGTGATCGTAATTAAAAAAAAAAATACTGAAAATGCAAAACACAGTTCAAAATATGAGTTATGCAACTGAACATACAAGTGAGAATTTTTATAAATAACCATTAGTTTATTAAATTTGGATATTTCCAAATCATGACGGATGCTTAAAGTGGACCGAAGCATAGAATACTTTGGCCACAAGAGTGCTATTGAGCCTTTTTGGGAAATTTCGGAGAAGGATGCAAGTAATACGGATTCCGAATACCTGCTTTCCAGCGCACCATGCAACAGACTCATCGTAGGTTTTTTGGTAAAGCACTCTGCTTCTTTCTAGAAGTAAATTTAGTGAAGGCACATTTGCCTTTTCTACTTCCGGAAGAGTTAAAGAATCCATTTCTATGCAATTCCCAAGGAGGTTTAAATTTTAAATGTATAGAGAGAGTATTGGGCTCATTGTTTTGTATCGCACAATTAGTCATATACAAACCCCCTCTACTGTTTGTATTCTGTGTGAATTAAAGGATAAGCAATTGAGCGAATCAGTGGCGGAACTAGATTTTACTGCTGTCTATTAGTTTTAATACATTTGTCATTGTTCTAGATTTTAGTGGATGTTTGCAAAGACCAGATACGCGAACGTGTGGGAAGTGTATTAACCACATATTTTGTTTAAAAACCAATATCTTCTGTTTTTCTTTAAATTGTATGAAATTGAAACTCGTCAGCCACTGTACTGCGATGCAATTAGCCAATAACACGTGACGTCATGTTGTGGCGGGAACTCAGCGTTTGACAAGCGCCGTGAAACTCCATAAGCGACAATGTTAACATTTTCGCATTTTATTTAAAAGTGTGGGTATTTATTTAGAAAATAAACACGTGCATAGCTTCTTTCATATCTTTTCTGTGTATCAGGGTGCTTTTTTTGGCGATTTGAGTTTAGAAATACATAATAAAAATAAAAATACAGAACACTGTTTTGGTCTGAATTCCTCGTCATCCAAAATACATCCGTGTGTTTTAAGCGGGAAATTGGAAATTAATATTTTCGTTTGAGGTTACTGTGACGGGTTTAAGTGAAGGTGTGTGATTTGTTTTTAAAGTATGGATAATTTAAGTGATTATGCACCATGTCTTTCCGTCAAAGACAAAAACAGATATGTACAAAAGTTAAACAATTTAAACGGCGTAGATCCTTATACAATGAGTGCAAGTGATTTTAGTTTGTGTTTAGACGATGTACCTACCATAACAATGAATACCATTCTAAACTTTTTTATTTTTAGAGTAAGTAAAATAACCCACAATAAAACTCGTGCCTTCAAAAGTTTAGAGACATTTATTCAATTTTCTCTTTTTTAAACAACTGTGTCTTTCAACATTACAAGTATTATGAGTGGATTTATTTTGATATCCTAAATTTTGTGATGGAACATAATCAGGATGGTCCAGCTGCAGGTTTACCTAAAAGAGCACTAATGTAGTAATTTGTTAGAAACTGTAAATCTAATAGGCAGGTACTGTACCTAAAATAAAATGATCCGAACAAACATAGGAATACTTTACTTTGGCTTCGTTAAATCCACTCGTTTCAAGGCTTTTAACCAAAGCTTCCGCCTTTTTCCCCATCCTGTATATATTTACCATTATTGTTGCTAATTGCTGCGAAAGGAATATAAAATTTATCCGCATTTCTGGTGCTTCGATTTGCCCAACCCACAACAGCACAAAATTTAGGCATTTTCACCTAAAATACAAAATATTATAATATTAAGATGCTAGTGTATTTAAAAAACATTGATGTACATTAACAAAGAATTAATTTGCAAAACAAATAATACATATAAGATGCAGCGAAGTTAACCTGTACATCACATTGGAAAACATTATTTTTTAAGCATATTCAAACGTTATGGTGCGTTTTACAGATATCTACACAGTCTAGAAACTGTAACAAACTTACCAAGCTATAAAAACACAGTTGACACACTCTCAAATTTAAATGAATTACGAAAATATTAGCATTGACTCTTATGAGAATACCGGCTACTTGTCAAACGCTGCCATCTTGATGACCTCGGATGACGTCAGTGTATTTGGCTAATAAACCTCTCGCGCCTCACTCCTCTCACCCGGGAGATGTTAGTCACACTTTGATATATGGAAGGTATTCGGAAATTCGGCATACTCTATCTATACTTATCCTCAATATTTTTGGCAATTCCCCATTTTGAATCATGATTTAGGAAATTTTTGACATTCAGAAATGACATTTCACGCAAGTGGGTGTATATCTGGTTGCCTGAAATCATGCATTAATAGCCCTTAACCACAGCATAGATAACAATCAGTAGGGACGGCTCGCCGTTTTTCGTGACCCGTTTTCGTTGGTGGTCGTTCGCTTTATGACCGAATGAGGGCGCCCAACTGACGTCTAAAATATTTGAAATTTGGCAGTTTTGTTACAATATTTTTGCCGGTTTTGCTTGTTTAAGACTGCTTTTCCAGTAGAATTGTACAAATAGTATAAAAATGTAATTTTCACAATAAAAGGTAAAATCTTCGTCCGATGAATTTTCATACAGGATCCTTGTTGTGCGCCTGCCTTATTCTCTCCCTCGTGTTTGGAATTCTTGGAAAAGATAGTAAACATAACACACTTTTTGTTTAAAAAGTCGTCGCAAACGAACAACAACGGTGGTTATGAAATAAATATAAAAAATTTATTATATATGATTCCGTTGTTGTGGTAAAATTTAATATAAAAGTAATAAGAAACAAACTACACGTAACAAAAAATTATATAAGCAGACCTTCACTCAATAAACAATTTTTTTATTCGTCATGTATATATATTTTTTTTTTTGACCTACACAATCTTGAGTTTTATTTTGAGACGTTGCTTAACCCATAAGCAGTCGCGCGTGGGTAAAAATGACCCAAGCCGTACATTTTGTCAAATATCTTTTTTCGCTTAATCCCTATGGACTTCCGGTTTCATGAATTCCTTAATTATTCTTACCTGCGTCGACCCATACCAATTACCTGCACTTTATGCGAGTCGACAAATATGTATTTTTTTTTGTAATATTTTTTTGAAATTTTAAATGAAGTGATACTTTTTAAATTGGGTGGCGACATCTAGGAATAGTTTAGGCAACGACCATCCATGACGGCGTCGCCTGCGTTGACAGTTGCGCTGATAAAGCCTGCCGAATAGCGAAATTGGACGATATGCAAAATTTGGACACATTTTGCTGAGGGCGCTAGTTATCCTTCGTTGACAGGTGACCAATTTGAATGTACAGAAGAAATTGTTGGTTTATGATGTTCTGTGTAGGTTTAGGATTGTTGGTGAAGTTTTTCATTGATTATTATTGATTGATGAAAATGGTTTCGGTTAGTCAGTTACACACCTTCTTACACCTCTCTCTTACACACTTGTTAGTCACGTTATACATCATCACGACAAAAAATTGTAGTGAAATAAAAATGAAAAGTTACTCAGAAAGTTTAACAGTGGGCTAACCTGCGGATTTTCGTTCAATTTTTCTAAAATGATTGATTTATCAACCTACGCAAATCCCAAATAGATTAGCTGGAAATTAGCGTTTGTTAACTTCGTTCGTGGTATGCAGTACGTTAGTGAATGTAGGTACACCTAACCTATGCAAGTCACCTACATAATAATGTTGAAAGGTAATAATTGTATCAATGTTTATATACTCTTACTAAAAATTATAATTTTAGTGAAACTGAACAGAAATGGAAGGAACTCTTTGGAAGCATAAACAGATTGCTAGTAAAAATGAAACAATAAATTAAATTATTGCTGCTGGAAGAATTAAATTTAGTGAGTGGGGATTGAGTTACAGACAAATTCAACACAAATCGGCCCGTGTTTCTGCCTGAAAGGCAAAATAACGCTTGAAAGTTATTCAGATTAAAATTACACTAGTAATATGCTAAGAAAGAAGACTCAAGGTAGAATTCAAGTATGTAAATTAATTAAACATGTAACATTTATAACTTCAGAATTTTTCTAGATAGTGGTTTAGTTTCTAGCTTCCTCTTTAAAGTATTTGAATTTTGGCTAATTTGGCAACCAATATTCTGTAGGACTGGCTTGCTGACTTTCTCTATTAAAATGTCTGCCAGAAACAACCTGTGCTGTTCGCAAGTAAAACAGTCACTCTGTGAGACAGGAACTTGCAAAATTTTATGAATCACTGCTAGTGGTGAAGAGTCAGTCCGAAGGAAAGGTATTATGTTCAAAATAAACTGTGTTACTGCAGCTATAACAGATATAAACGGTGTTGATGGATATCTCAGAGAACCTTTGTCATGTAGATATATCAGATCAAGTAGTTTATTACTAGTTGCAGGAGTTGATATGTCTGTAAGGCATTCAATACAGCCAGCTATACGTTCTTCTATTGTCCTTACAACATATCCGGCTATCCATGCAATAGCAGCTGATTCACAGTTTTCAGGTAAGTTGGCATTTGATACAAACAAAATATTATTAATTAATTCTCCATAGGATGGCACTTTCTTTGCAAAAAAGGCTTCATCATGTGCACCATCAACTTTCTTCAGATTAATGTCAACTGTAGACCAACTAGAGAAAATATGTTTTGAAGACTGTGCCACATCTTCATTTTTGGTATTTCCATATTCAGAAGCTATAATTATACCAGTCTGCAGAATTTGTTTAATAGCGTACTCTGCCGCTCTGGCATCAGTCATGTCATTAGAGCCTCCTCTGAGGCGAATGCTGCTGAAAAACGATTCTATTGGGTCAGAACTGAACCTCCTAGTCAGTACATAGTAGAATCCATTTTGTAATAGGTAGTTAATGCACTCAAAAGTTGCTACACTGGTGAAAATTAAAGCTTCCGCTGTTTCGTCACTTAGTCCTTTCAGATTTTGCTTTTTAGAACATTCCTGGATGCTTTGAATATACAAGGGGAACTCATTCTTCAACCAAGTCAGTCGCTCGTCGGAAACTTTTCTGTATGGGGCGGTATCAGGATCCAACTGATGTATGTGCTGTAATGGATCACTAACATCATGTATTTTGAAAAATCTATGCATCATTTCCATAAATTTAATAGTAGAACCAGCCTTAGAAAACTCATAATTACTAGTTTTATGTTTCTGCAGGTAAATTAAAAGATTGGAAATCACTGGCGAAAATATTTGAACAGCCCTTAAAACATTCATCTTTTCGAATGTATTAGGCTCAATGTGCTTTTTGGTTAAAAATTTTACTGGCTTTGTGATCATATCTTTTTGAATGTTGTATATATTTTTAAGATAAATTGATGAAATTATCCCATTGTTATCAGCCATGTTACGGCTTAAAAATATATTGCGGGCATTTTTAATTGCATGGCAATAGTCAAACGACATAAAAAATTGCAATCCATCCACAACTGGATGAGGAATGCTTGTTTTTAGAGACCCATTTCCAAAATGACGAAACAAGGCAACATTAGATTTGTGATTGTCCCCAATTAATCGAATAATGTTGAAACCGCAATTTGTGACCTCTTGTAAAATGCACATTGTCATTTCGTACAACTGTTTTCCAGATGTGCCTCTGCTGAAAAAATAGGCAACAGGAATAGTAAATTTTCTGTAAAAGCCGTGGATCACAAAGCATAGTAATTTATTTGCTATTTGGGTCCTTGTGCCAATGAAACTTTGATTGTCAGTGTTTTCTACCCCATAAAATTTGTCTTCTGATCTGCTATAGTACATTCGCTCTTTTATAGCCATCTCATCTACTATAAGAGATACAAGACGCTCTTTTGGATCCTGATATTTGGCTGCCTCAACTGAAAGTCTCTGTCGTATGAGCTGTGTAATACCAATGCTTGGACAAGCTACATATTTTGCAATGGTAGAACGGCAGGGAGCTCGAATAAAAAGTCGTCGACCCAGATCATAGCCCTTTGGTGAAGCAAAGCGCCAAGCAACGCAATATCTTAGTGTAGTTTCTGACCACCTAGGACGTTTTAAATTGTAATTTGCTATTTGTTCTAAAATAAATATAGCTGTGATGTCATTTTTGCTGGCGTTCTTTTCAATTTGTTCAATTTTTTTAGATGTGTGTTCGAAGTGGTTAAAAAATTCTTGCAAATGTTGTTTTTCAAGTTCAAGCGTAGCAATTTTTTTTTGCAAGTCTTTATTTTCTTTTCGTAATGCAGTACTTTCAATGTCTTGTACATTGACTTGAACTGCAACATTGTTTGTCTGAAATTAAATTACATACTCTAATACTTAATTATTTATATAAGCAGAAAAGTACTATACCGATTTGTCCAATTGTTTTCTTAAAATTTGATTTTCTTTTTCATAAAATAAACACAATTTTTCGAGTTCAGAAATTTTGTCCAGTGGTGATGTTTGGTCATGCTATTAGGAATTTGGTAAGAATGGTTAAGGATGGTAGGTTTTACACTTACAGGTTGGTTGTCGGGATTAGGTAATCGTAATTCACATGGCTCTTGCAGGAGAGGACTTGGTTTTCGGAGGGTTTCAATATTTTGGGGAGTGAGATCTAAATACCAGTAAAATCTATTGAACAGGAATGTCTATTGCACAAACTTACCTTTATTAAACTGGGGAACTGCATGGCTTTTTAGCCTGCATCTACCCACAGAATCGTAGACAAAATCATTTTTATTAAAATGAAGAATACAGACTTTTGCCCTCTCCGAAGGAGGTTCAAAGTTTTCTTAAATGAAATTAACGTTCATTATTACGTTATATCAAGAATTTTATTTATTTTTTAATAGATAAAGAATGCAAACCTTTCAAATTTTCCCCAAGAGTGATACTTTTTATCCACGCAGAAAACCTCTGCTTCTGCGTTGGAAACTCGTGGTAGGTAACATTTGGATCACTGTTTGAACAGGATGGTATACAACAATGCATTTTTAATCCTATTTTATTAGTTCAAAATTACGAAAATTACAAATACAAACAAATGCGTCAAATTCAAATTTGAACTGTCATTCAAGGATAACTAGCGCCCTCAGAAGGAAAATGGCGTCGAAAGTAACTACTGGATTATCTGTCAAAGGTGGCTATTCGGCAGGCTTTATCAGCGCAACTGTCAACGCAGGCGACGCATGACGGCTTAAAATTCGGGTCAGAAAGAACAAAGGCGCCGACACGAGCTGTCCCTACTGATTGTTATCTATGCTGTGCCTTAACGCCTTAGATCATATAATAAATAGATACCACCACGCCGTGTTCTTTCCCTGGCAGAGCCTGTGACGACATCCTCCTGTTACACATCTCTCTTCTGCATAAAGGGATTACAATCAAGCTATCCTTGCCTGATCACTATTTGAATTTTGCGCGCCCAAATTTTAGGAAGTATGTCTGAACTAATTTCGTACGAAAGATGTTGACAGCTTGATTTTATAAATAATTCACAGTAGATAACGAAAGGAATAGTAAATTATTGGGCAGCAATTGTGATCCTTTATGATTACATCACTTAAAATAGAATCTTTGTTCTAAATTCTAAAATTGTTTTTCGTACAAGAACTCGAAAGAGAGGTTAGAAGAAACATCTGTCAAAAGCGATTTGTTGCGCTGGTGTGTTACCAGGATGGAAGTGAAATAGACATATACAGATGAAATGCATATAACAAAGATGAAGATGTGGTGAACACACAAGGATAGCATTATAATACTCCCCTTGACGTTGAAAACGACAACAGATAGCTTCATGTCTAGTCACAGCTTTCAGTTTGAGTATTGGTATCTATTTATTATATGATCTAAGCTTAACGCCCTTATTAGTAAATGATTTTCGTACATGAATCATGAATTAATCTCCTCATTAATAAACGATCACCGGAAAAAACATTTCAGCCCAGATGAAACTATTTCAATATTATAAAACTTAAAGGGCAATAAATAAAATAGTGGCAATTATTTTTTTTTTTGTCATCTCATGTTCATCAGTTAAGTCGTTAAGTGCTAAAAAAATTGGTCGAAAGTTGTTTCGACAGAACTTACCTCGCTGCTGAAGTAGAATGAAACATATCCAACATTTTTGCGTTGACGTGATCAACATTTTTGCAAGGTGTATCAACTTGGATTAGTGCAGCGTAATCCTAAAAATAACAATATTGTGTTCCCAAAATTTTCAGGGAAAAATGGAGTGACCCGTTCCTGATTTAATCAATAAAATAAACTGACTCATTTATTAATTTTTTTGAGCCACCTGTTTAACCAAATCTAAAGAATCCGGGGCGGCAGACAGACAGACGGAAACGGCAGACCTATTTTTTCGTACTGTAGGAGTCATGAAAGATCGAGAAAACGTAAAAGTAGAGAGTCGGTCGACGGACTCCATTACAACACTTCCTTCACTTCGGCTCCGGAAATTAAAAATATGAATGCAATGATAAATCGCAAGTAAAAACTCATCATATTTTGCACATTTTGGGTGGATTTTATTCAACAAAATTTTGAGATGACGTCACCATTTTTTTAGTGGGGATGAGTAAATACATTCTGATTATAGTATATTATTAGCCAAGGTTGCAGAGCCAAGCATTCTAGACCGAGCGCAAAATAGAACCCGAGACGCGCAGCGTCGAGGGCTCTGAAGCGCGAGGTCTAGAAGTGGCTTTGCAACCGTGGTTAATATACTATTTTTTTCACTAGTAGAAACCATAAGACAATAAACTGAAAAAATAAACGGTCAATTTTTTGACGCAACATGATTTTGTTTTGATTTCTAATCAAACTTAATCTACATCTTCAACATAAAGAAAACCGTTTATACTTTTCGCTGAGTTAATCATTTTATCTTCTACCGTGTAGCAACTACCATGCGTATACTCAAGTAATGTTTGTAGCACACATTTGTTCATTTTTTAAGAAATAATTACATCAAACATTGCGTACATAACCTCAATTTTTCTTTTTGAACCGGTGGTCGCAAAAGTTGAATTTGCTACCTCTAAATGAGTCGACATTTGCATGCGTCATGGCTGCTAGTGAAAAAACAATTTACCATGCTTATGATAGCTTTAAGACATCTCCAAGATTTCAAAGCATTCGGTTTTGCAGTTCCTGATTAAATTAAATTAAATAAGTTCACGCATTCATTAATTTTTTTGAGTCACTCTGTATATGCAAAACCAAAAAATATGAATGGAATGATTAAAGTACAAGATGTTGTTTCATAATTTTAATTTTTTTTCCAAAAATCTGGACGTTTCGGGTAAAAACTCAATTCGGAGTTATAAACTACATGTGCAGGACTAGGTTATTTTATACAATTTAAAATCCATGTACTATGTACAATTTTGAAGTGACGTCATTATATTATTGGTGAGGATGATTAGACAAATTTTGGTTAGCGTTTTATCACGACATCCCTAATATAAATGCAAAATTTGACAACAATCGGCCCAGTACTTTCGGAGAGTATCTGTCTAATAAAAATCAGGGACGGCGACAGACGGACAGACAGACAGACGGACAGATAAAAGGTCAGACAGACGGACAGACAGATAAACGGAAACGGGAGACCTATTTCTTTGTCCTCTGGGTGTCATGAAAGGTCGAGAAGATGGAAAAGTAAAGAGTCGGCCGACGGATTCGATTACAATACTTCCTTTGCTTACGCTCGGGAAGTAAATAGACAGTTGGGACCTCCGAGAAAGTTTTACGTTTTTAAAAAAGACAGTTGAGACCCCCGAGAAGGTTTCTCATTCCAAAAAAGAACATTTGAGCACCCCGACATTATTTTACATTTTTCAAAAATATAGTTGGAACCTCCGCGCAGGTTTCAGAAGAAAAGACATTTGGTGTCCCCGAGAAGGTTTTACACGAGGGGTAAACCGCAGAGGAAATCAATTGTACACGCTAGAGGAAATCAAAGGAAATCACAGGAAATCAAAGGAAATCAAAGGAAATCAAAGGAAATCAAAGGAAATCAAAAGGAAATCAAGAGGAAATCAACGAGAAATCAAGAGGAAATCACTGAGAAATTAACGAGAAATCAACAAGAAAACAAAGGAAATCCAAAATCATCATAGCAAATCCAGTTAAACTAGATATTTTCTAGAACTAATAAACGTAACATGTACGACATAAGTCATAGCATTCATCATAAGAAAGAAAATATCAGTTTAATCTTAAAAGTGGAGATTAAATAACCTTTTAAGGGCATAATGATAGAAAATTCCAGTATAATATCATTAACTGACAGCATGATATTTCAGCTTGACAAATATTAAAGTTGTAGTTAATGAAGTGCAGTCCCGATGAGAAATGATACATTATATTGCTTTATACCTACAAACCAAATTTATAATTTCACCCCAAATTAGTTTTTAAAAATTGAGTTTGTGATACCAAATTCATTAAGTTCAGGTCGTGCAAAAATCTTACTGATGATATGTTCTTGCCTTGGAAGTTTAGCTCTCAAACTTGTGAGAGTATGTTTAGAAGCCTTAGATCAATGACCTCAACTTTTAGCACAATTCTTAATTTTAGTATAAGAGATATGTTGCATCGAAGTGACAGACTGCAAACTATAAACAACATTAAAAATTATTTGGATAAAAAATTCGTTTTTCCTAGAGAAATCAGGAAAAAAAGTTCAATCATGAAGAGAGATGTTGTGAAAAATGATGACTTAGGAAACATTTCAGATAAAGATATACAAAGCACCGTAGAATCAGCTTTACGGGATTGTCTGCATGACACTGAAGATTTAGGAGTGAAAGTGATAGATTTCAACTATGTATTTTTGCCTCCGTGTAAAGACAATGAATGCAATGACGAAGTTGAAGATGAAATGTTTAGTGAAGAACAGTGCGATCACATTGAAAATTACAACAATTCTCAAATAGCCATAAAACGTAACTGTTTTCAAAGTTTGGAAAACGATCCAGTTGACCAAGATGAAGATTTACTGAATGATCTTTGCACCATTTCGTACGAATCTAAAAAATTTGACAGAGACATGCACCTTAGAAGTTTTGATAGTGATGATATTTTTGTTGAGAAAGGTGATCTAGTCAGAATACGC